GGGGACCCGGCGTTTTCGTGAGCCCGTAGCACGGCCCGAGGAGCGACGTGGGTAATGCCTGTGCTGCAGCATCGCCTGGCCCCGGTTTGATTTCCTGCGGTGAGGTCCGAGGCGTCCAACTGCTGTTCTTCTGTCTCGCAAAAGTGCATTGAGGGCCAGAAAGAACCCAGAGCAGGGGCTAAGAGCGGCTTCTGCTTTTACCTCCAGAAGCCTTCCCGTCTCCGTATGTCACCAGTGCTGTGCCTGTGCACGTGCTTTAAATCTTCAGGCCAGTTTTAAGCCACCACCGGCTGTTGTTGCGCTGCGTGGCTGTTGGCCTCTTTTGGGCTGATCAACAGAACGTGCGCTGCAAAAAAAAAGCAAAGTGTGATTTCCAGATTTAGCTCGTTGTCTTAATTAAAAATCAGTCCAGGTTGTATGCTTGGTAACAGAAGGGAGGTGGCGGTTGGGTGTTGAGGGGGTCGCCAGCTGGCAGGGTTTTGTTACTGCTTGTTTGCAGTAAATCCTATGTGTGCCGACCAGCCTTCTCGCAGAGCGAGCTGCTGAAGTCTGACCTAAACTGCAGCAAAATGCCAACGATTTACCCCTGCCTCAGTTTCTCCATCTGTATAAGGAAGGCAGAGATGCTGCTTGGTGGGTTGCAGCTGCTGGTGGTATGAGGAATCATCACCCAGTGGTTAGCCCTGCAGAGGTGAAAAGTTGGAATAACATCCATTATCTGAGAGCTTTGGGGCTCACAAGCAGAGTTTAAGTCTGAGGGCAACGTTGCAGAAGAGGGGAACATGGCCCTGTCCTGAGGACCTGCCTCTGCTCCAGCTCCGTGAGATGCTGGTGGTGCTACAGTGTGCTTGGTGCTCCCCAACTGGATTTGAGTAAAACCTGGATGTGTGGAGTAAAGCTCCCTGCTGTTTGGTGAGGAAGTGCTCTGATGTCGGTGTTCGCTCATGCTTGCACGTGGCCTTTTGTACGTGCTCCCAGCATCTCTGGCTCTTCAGGAGCATGGTTTCCCCGGCAGCAACCTGACCCCGTCCGTGCCTGCATCCACCCCCCTTAGTGCCCATCTTGGCCTGTCTGTCGTCTCTGGCTGGAAATGCTGGTTCAGGGCTGTACAGGAGCTGCTGCTTGCGTTTGGAAGGAGCCTCGTGTTGGCGTTTTCCAAGGTACTTTGGTCACCCCCACTAAAAGGGTTTCTTGTGCAGTGCCAGCAGGGGAAAAAAACGATGGTGGGCAGATTTTTTGTGTGTTGAGAGCAAAATAATCTCTTTTTCAATGCACTCCTGTCCTGTCTTGTATTTTATAATTGCGTTGCAAGTTCTGGGTCAGGGGCTGTGTCTTCTCCTGCAGAGCAGGACCTTGGACTCTGCTCGTTGTTGCCGCCCGAGACGTGGCGGTGGCTGGCATGGGGTGCTTGGGGTGATGCTTGTTTTTGGGGGGCTTCAAGGGGCTGATGCTGCCACACAGCAGCACTGAGCATCCCCTTGGGGCAGTGGGGACCAGCTGTGAGGTGGGGCTGGGGAACAGCCGGGTTTGCAAAGCAATTCTAACCAGTCACATCTGCAGGTCTGTGTAATTTGGATTGCCAGGGCAGGGCCCCACCTCTGGAACAGCAGCCTGAGAAACAGCTCGGGGCTGCGGGCCATGGCAGTTTTTGGGCAGGGACATGGGAAAGTACGAGTTGCCCTCAACAGCTTATTGATTTAAACCCTGCATATAAACATGTCAATCGGATTTTGATTAGGAAAAAGCCCTGCGCAGCCTCCCCGTGAAGGTGGTTTAAGTCCTGCAGATGAACGAGTGCTGACCACAGGCAGGGCTGCTGTGAGCGCACTGGACAAGAGACCTCGGGTGCCTGCAGGAAACACGGAGTGGTTGCAGCGTGAGGCTGGAGCTGCCTGCCCTTGGTCTGTGGGCAAATTGGGCACTCAAGAGCCCCAGCGCTGTAAAACTTGTAAACCTGGGTGCAGAGGCAGCTCTGACAGCTCTGCCCGGAGCTCTTCAACTTGGTGCAGAGCACTTCTAATCCCGAGCAGAGGCGCCTCTGGGTGGGTTTGCAGTTGATGTCATTGTTACAGCCAGTCAGACAATAATTAGGGGCTTCAGGTGATCAATGGGTTGTGAGAAAGAAATTCCTCTCCAGGAGCAACTCCTCTCTGGTGTGTGGGTCCTTTGTTTTTCACTATGTCGTTTCCTACTCCAGAGCTGTGGACAAAGCCAATGTTTCAGGCAGGTCTTGGGGCTGTGGGTTATCAACAGCTCAACCATGCTGGCCTCTATGCATTGCTCTCGGTCCCTGTGTAAGCAACTGCCTCTCTTGATGAATAAGTAAATTCACCACTAGCAAATGTTAGGTTCTTCTAAATACCGGTGTCAGCTTGAAATCATTATCCTGATGGTTTTTGGCTAGCGGTAGAGTTTACCAGCCCTCAAGTCGCCTGTTTGTGTTTCCAATAAATACTTAAATGCTTGTGCTGAAGAGCTGCTCAGCCCTTTGAACCAGCCTTCTTTTTAAATGATGCTGTTGTGTGACACCTGGAGAAGCAGCAGGAGTTGCTGTGCAACCCCACGAGCCCCAAAGTCCTGCCCATGCTAAGCAAAGCCAAACCAATCCTGAAACGATGAGAGCTGCAGTGCCTGGACATGGTTAGTTTGGTGACCGAGGTTTGTAAATTGGATATCAGAGCTTGTTTATTGTAAATAGCGAACGGCTGCCAGCCAGGTCCTGAGGAGGAGGACAGTAAAGATTTGTTTTGTGTAGTTTTGTAGCATGTTTATGTTCTGGGAATAGCAGTGGTAATTTTCTGTGGTTGTTGATGTGCTGGTAGATGAAGCAGCCGTGCGATTAACCATTTAACGCACACCTTCCCTTGGCACTGACTCTACAGACTCTGTTTTCCAAGTTATACTCCTTAAAATTTGCCCAGAGGGCACTGCGGTGTCTGGTTGGCCCTTCCTGAGGTCTCCTTGCACTTGGGAAGGTCATGAAATCCCTGCAGAAGGTGGAAAAGCAGAGCACTTCTACTCCTGAGCAAAGGCAGCTCTGGGTGGGTTTGCAGTTGGTATCGTGTTGTTACAGCCAGTCAGACACTAATTAGGGGCTTCAGGTGATCAATGAATTGTGTGAAAGAAGTTCCTCTCCAGAAGCATCTGATGCTGCAGGGAGGGGATGGGCTAAGCTCTTATGTAAATTGCTTGAACGTACCTGGAGATGGCCTGGTGGCCAGCAGACATCTAAACCCCCAGGCAGGGGTCTGTGGCTGGTTTTGTGGTGTTTGTTTGTTTGTTTTTTCCTCTTCTTTTTCCCCCAGATTTAATCTGGCTGTGAAATCAGAGTTCCTGCTCTGTGGTTTAGCTGCCTGTTTGATGGGGACAGATTGGGCTCAAACAGAGGATTAGGGCTTGTTACAGAGTGGGAGCAAGGAGCTCCTGAGTGGGAAAGCTCCTTAGAAAGAGGAAATGAGAAAGCACAGAGGATGCTCTTTGTTTTGCAGGAATTTCATTAATGTCTGTTTAAGCCAGGTTGGATCCGGGTTTGGCATCTCCTCCTTCTTGATTTCTTGCAGGGGTGCCTGTTTGCTGCCAAAAAAACAGGGTTTCTTGCTTGCTTCCTTCAGAGGCGAGGACTAAAAGTAATATGTAACCTAGAAGGGCTCTTCCTACCAATCGCCTCCCCTTCTCCTGCAGGAAACGCACAAAGTTTACAGGCAGAAGCTGGAAGAAGTCACCACCTTGCAGACAGCCTGCAGCAGCTCCATACACCGGCAGAAGAAGACACTGAGGGATCTGAAGCACAGCCTGCAACGGTAACAGGAGACCTGGAAGGGGAGGAGGTGGGGATGGGATGTTTCTCCCTCCCAAAGGCCTGAAATGTTTGAATTTGTAGCATTTTAATATGCTGTCTGTGTCACAGTGGTAATTTTGCTCCATATTAGTCTTGAGTCACCTCTGTTTATCGCAGCCAGGTAAAATGTTTGTAACCTCATGAGCAATGGTGTCCTATAGGGAAGATGCCTGGGGAAGCCTAGGTGGGTTTGCATCCATGCAGTAGGTCCCATCTGCTGCAGAACTGCACGTGTTTTGTTGGGCGAGCAAAGCTTTACTCCGTAAGCGGGAAGAGCAGCATCGATCCTTGAACCTGAAGGTGTAACTCACTCCTGGGTGGATTTACAGGAGGGAACTATCTTTGGCTGCTGAAAACACCACCTCTGAAACCACGGGGTGCTAATACCACTGTGCTCTGCTCACAATATTCCCTAAGTGCTCTGTTGGTGCAGAAGGATGGGAGCCTGTCTCTGAGCTGAGATTAAAGGAGAAGCTGATTTGTAAACCAGCCGGTTGAAATAACCTCCAAGGACATAAACCAGACTGAAATAAAATCATGGCTAAGCCAAATCAGTGTGCAGAAATACAGGATCAAAGTGCACTGTGGCATCAGCTCACATAGTTAGCTCTTGGATTTTATGGCAACATTCTTTTCCTCTAAATAAAAAAAGGATGTATAACCCTGGACAGACATCTCTTATTTCTGTGTTCTCGCAGGTGCAAGCCCAGAGCAAGCCCTGAGGAGTTTGCTCTCATTCAGGAGATCAGCACCCAGATCAAGGAGAGGCAAAACGCCTTCTTCGACATGGAAGCCTATTTGCCCAAGAAGAATGGGTGCGTGATTTGCTGGGGAGGACTGCGCGCTCCAGGGAGGCTGATTTTTCAAGTGTTCGCAGCGGTGGTGTTCCCGAAGGATAATGTGCATGTTGAAGAAATAGATGTAAAACTGAATTAGTCATAAATCTCTTGCTGAGCTGCTGTGTCAGTTGTGCACAGAATTCATTAGCTGGAAGTGTATGTAAATGTACTGCGTGTACGCAGGGCAGGTTTTTATGTTAAATTAAAAGTAACGTTGCATTGGCTGTAGATCACTGTTTCACACTGATGTTTTCCTGTACTAATTATTTTTTTAAGACTAAGTCGGGACAATAATTTTCTCTCTCTTTTTTTTTTTTTATTTTTTAAATAGTGTTTTCAATCAACTTAAAAATTATACTTTGCTTCAAGTGCGGTTGCTGGCACAGATGTGTTACAGCTATCAAGGGCTGTGCAGTGCTGCAGCCCCTTCAAGGTTTCTATAAGGAACTTTTCTTCCAGTTTCTCCCTGTTATTTTTTGTTTTGGACCATGTATACTACATATCTCACCCTTAGATTGTAGCACAGAAAAGAGACCTGAAAAACCAACCTTTTCTCTTAACTTCTTGGAAAGGCTGACCAGTCTCTCCATGTTTAAATCCTCTGCTGTAGTCTCTCCAGTTTGCCTTAATTAAAAAACTACAGCAAATGCAGCTTTGGCAGATACGTTGGTCTCTTCAGCTCCAATCTGTGTCATCCTGTGATGCTGAAATAAAATTACATGGGTCTGCTCGTGTTGTTTTTGTTTTTCAGCCTGTACTTAAATCTGGTGCTGGGAAACGTGAATGTAACTCTCCTGAGTAACCAGGCGAAGTAAGTGAGTGTTTCCACATGTGTGAATTTGGGTTTCTCTGGGGCCATTTGTGGATACAGACTGAAGTCCAGAGGTGGGAATGGGTTTCTCTTAGACCTGATAAAAGATGTAATGTTGAGTATGGGCAAGTTGGACCACGACACAGGGCCAGTCTAATGCTGCGTGTAGCTCCAATGGGTTCTGTCCATCACTTGCTTTTAAGCCCAGCCCAGCCTGCTGCCTTAAATGTAAGGGGATTTTTTTTTGCAATGGAAAGTGGTATTGTGACTTCCAGGCATATGGTGCTCCAGAAAATGGAGGTCTTTTTAGTTTGTTTTTTTTTTAAATCCTATTGTGCCAACCCAGAAATTGGCTCTTACGGACTTTGGCCTGTGTCTTGCAGCATAATGGCTGTGCGGCCTAGACAGGCCCTGCAGGCCAAATGCTGCCTTTCACTGCCATTTGCTGGTTTTCTAAATGTTTCAAGCAAAACCTCTGTTTTTGGACTTGGCATGTGGATTTCTATCTGGTTTGAAAAAAGTGAAGCCATGTTCCAGTAAAACACCCGTTTGCGTCTGTAAACAACGGCTGTTTCCTTCCAGGTTCGCCTACAAGGACGAGTATGAGAAGTTCAAACTTTATCTGACAATAATCTTGTTGCTAGGGGCTGTCACCTGCAGGTTTATTCTGCATTACAGGTAAGCCTACGTTTTTACTTTTAATCAAGTATTTTGAATAAAAATGTGCTGGGTTTGAGCTAACTGCTCCTTTCTGTTAAGGATGGTGAGATGGTGTCGTGGTTTAGGCAGTTTATGTCATCTGATGATTCCTCACCTCCTGTGGAAGGGAATTGGGAAAAGGAGACCCATGTGTTGAAGTAGAAACAGATTTAATCAAATAATAATAAACCCCAGTATTAATAACATAATTAGTATAAAGTACACAGAGTCCTACTTAGCCAGTGTAGTAGGGAGTAGGCCTCAGGAGCAGGACGATGGGCAAGGCCTTCCTGAGATGGCAGCCATCTAGGAAAGAGAGCAAGCTGTTCTCAGCACGCTTCCCAATTTACGGAGATACATTTATCATCTAGGCTACTTTCTGTTGGTCAACTTGGTCATTTGTCCTGTGTTTTACTCCCCACAGCTCCTTGTAAAGAAAAAGCAGGCTAGGTGCAACACTGAACCCAGAACCAGTCCTTGTTCACTATGACAACCTTTCTCTTGACTGAAAACTGAAACAAAGTGTGTTGTCAGCTTGTTCCCACTGAAAATGAGTGCTAAAGTCTTTCTAGAAATGCAGTTTTCCTGAAGAGAAACCTAACCTGTAAGATTCTGTCCCAGCAAACCAAGACAGATGGACTCTGGCAATGTTTAGGCTTTGAGTCGCTGGACAGATTTACACCACTTTTCCAGCACCAGCAGGTCCTGTATTTTAGCTACTTGCTTTTCATTGTTTAACTTTTTTTTCCGAGCTCTTTGTAAGAGAAGGCAAACATCGTGTTTCCCGATCTGTCATTTTCCTGTCATCGTGCTGCATTTATGATCGAGTGGTTGTTTTTGCTCACAGGTTGTCCCAGGCAGAGACCAGCACTGTGCTGCAGCTCTGGGGTTGCAAAGGCCACAAGAGAGGATTTGCTTGAAATTATCAGACCTGAAATGTTATCTCTAGGTTGTGATAAAATGTGTCTGAGCACCAACTAGCTTCCACTATTCAGTTTTGCTTAAAAAACAGGAAGGTGTTGGAGCCGGGCACTTCCACTACGGTCTCTGTGGGTCTGAGTGAATGCAGGATCATAGCAAAGAAGGATGCTGCTGTATAAAGAGGCTACCCTGAATCCCTTTGGCTCCAGGGTTTGCAAATGGCAAAATAAAGGTGGTTGTTTTTTTTTTTTTCCCACAGAGTGTAATGCTCTTCTGCTCTTTTAGTTGATTGGATTTATATAGATCTCATGGAATCTCCTCATTGAATTAGCCTGGAAATGCTTCTCTTAAATTGGATCATCCACTGCTTCCATGGTGCTTTCTCTCCTTCAGAAGGAATTAACGTCATCTCTGCATACCTGCTTATCGGCTTAAGATCTGCAGCGTTATATCACAGGGCCCTTCCCAGAGGAAAGGGCTCTCAGCCCGGCGGTGCTGCCGATGCTCTCGGCTCTGCATGTGGATTAGAGATGTTCAGGACTGGGGCTTTGTGTCGGTGGCTTCACTTGAGCAGGTTCTAATTCACCCAAGAGGAGGGAGGAAAAATAGGGATTTTTTGGAATGTGTCTGTAGTTAACAGGATTTTATTTTTATTATTATTATTAT